TAGAAGACAAGACTGTCCAGAACTCAAGAAAACACCTTTTCCCATCCCACCACTGGCTGAGGAAACCAATGGTAGAAGGTGGCATGCTCAACATCCCTGACGCGTTGGCCATACAGGGGCGTGCTCGGCTCCCCTTCCAGGGGGGTGCACCACTTCCAGACAACAGCAATTTTCAAAAGGTTGTACCGGTACGCGGTCACATCATCAGATATTTGTACATGTGACGTCATTTTTACGGTTACAACGATTGTATGTCATCAAGAATGAACACAGTACAGCATCATGATTATCAATTTGTTTCAAAATAAAGGATGAAAACTTTACACTTGTTTAAAAACCAATCCGTTGACGACACTGTGCCAGGCAGGCCGATGCAAACACACACTGCACGGATATAGCCAAGAACAATCGTCACACTAGTTGACGTATCTGGACAGGATTCGGCAAGGAGAGCGTCGAAAGAACAGCTTCAGCACCTCATCTGTGGATGTGCTCCCGCGAGGTCGAGCTTTCTGCAATACATTGGTGACTTTTCAAAACCACGGTCGAAATATTGTGGGGGTGCACTTGCCCCCTGCGCCCCTCGCCAAGCACGCCCCTGCCATAATGTCGACGTTTTTCCTTCTCATGGGGCTGGTACGTGCTCTTGAGTGAGGAGGTCCGATTCGATTGTGCAGAAGGGTTGAAAACCCGTACATCAAGAAACACACGCTCGAATCGCCCACCCCACACACCACTAGCCGCCACATCCAATCGGGCCTGGTGGTTAGTGATTACAGTTCGGTACTGCAGCCTTTCTCCAGTTAGCGGCTGGAGTCGAGGCTCGACTGCCACATTCATGGCAACTCTCTTGACCAGGTTCGCTGTCACGTCACGGATCTCGTTGTAATGGATTGTAAAATACTACTCCCTGGTTGGCAGGAGTAGTAGATTTCTACTCCCTGGTTGGGAGGAGTAGTAAAATACTACTTCCTGGTTGGCAGGAGTAGTAAAATACTGAAAAATAATAAGGCACCCATTTTGATTCAGGGGATGGCCCACGCCTGGTAAAAAGAATAAAACAGAAAAAGAAAAAAAAGAAAAAATTAATAATAAGGCACCCATTTTGATAATCCAGTGGATGGCCCACGCCTGGTAAAAAGAATAAAACAGAAAAAGAAAAAAAAGAAAAATAATAAGGCACCCATTTTGATAATCCAGGGGATGGCCCACGCCTGGTAAAAAGAATATAAATAGAAAAGAATCATGACAAGTACATGACTAGACCTCTAGACAAAAATGTACATTACATGTCTGACTTTAGTTCAACAGTCCTGCAAGGAAACGCGTGCCTCGGCTACTACTACAGACGCGGGGTCCCTGGTGACACGGTGTGCGGATGAGGATCTTGCCCCATGAAGGCACATCACGCTAGCTCGGACTAATGCAAAGCTTAGCTTGCAGCGCAGCCATGCCATCGTCACAGAGTACGGCTCCTTCAGCTTGTCAGATAGCATGCTGGCAAGACGTTTGAACAGGGCCGATGCACACTTGCTAATGCCACTAGTGGCTGACAGCACTACTGGCACGAACGTGGCGCGGTCAACCTGAAGCAGACGCTGCTCATATCTCCGGCGTTTCTCCTTTTCATGGCGTGCATACACTGAGGAAACTGAGGCAGCGCAATTTGAGGCAGCGTAGGGGTTGAAAACCCTTATATCAAGAAAGGTGCGCTCAAATCGGCCACCCCAGATTCGGCAACATCAAGACGAGCCTGATCAGCAGTCGTTGTGGACAGAAGCCGGAATTTCTCCCCGGTGACTGGCTGCAGCATCGGTTCTGTGCACACAAAATGCGTGACCTGACGCAGAACATCAGCCGTGAGGTCTCGAATTTCATTGTGTCGAATACTGGGGAATCTCCCAGTACTGCAGGACAAGGCATGGGTGACGTCAAAGTTACCATGGCCACATACGCATCCTGATGGCAGGCGTGCTGGTGTCCACCCGTACCGGAGACAGAGGGCATCGCGAAACTCCGCCTTGGACAAACGAAATCCATGGATGGCTAGAGGGCGGCAAGTCAGCCAGCTAGAGGCCCCCTTCTCCGAAGCTAGGGTCAATTGCAGCTCAAGCTCTGCTCCAGCACCATCCTTGAAAGACTTCACGGCTGCCAGGAGGTTGGTTAGCAAAGTCGTACGTACCTCTGCCTTCATGCGGAGAACTTGCGCCGCGGTGCCATCTAGGGAGGAATCTTGGGCGATTAGTTTCTCCCACAGGGATGTCGTGATCTTGCGTGAATTGTGGTAGTTGCCGCCCATAGATGTCGGGTTGGTGATGCCAAGACCACCATGGCGACATGGGAAGGCCAGCAGTGCACGCTCCTGAGAAGACAGTGGCGCCTGGCCTGTCAGAGCTGGGATCAAGATGTCCCGAATCACGTCTTCAAGACGACCAAACAGTGCAGGGGCATCCTCAAGGGTTCTTGAGAGAAAGGACCACCGCGGCTGTAGTCCCTGAATGAAGGCACTGATACTACTCTCTGGTTGGCAGGAGTAGTAAAATACTACTTCCTGGTTGGGAGGAGTAGTAAAATACTACTTCCTGGTTGACAGGAGTAGTAAAATACTACTCCCTGGTTGTGAGGAGTAGTAAAATACTACTTCCTGGTTTTGTTTGTTTGTTTGTATACTTTATTTGAATTCGCAAATTCAAACGAGCACAAATGCTCAATGACAAGGCAGCGAATATGTTATTATGTTACAGGGAAGGAGGGTTGGGGAGAAAATAAGGGGAAAAAAGAGAGAATGGTAGATATCTCAATGAAGAGCGAAGCGTTATCATCAAACTACAAGTAAGCCGGCGAACGATAAACAGAAAAATAATAATAAGGCACCCATTGTGTTAGTCCAGGGGATGGCCCACGCCTGGTAAAGAGAATAAATAGAGAAAATAAAATGAAATATAAAAACAAACAAACAAAGTACTATCTGTAATTGCTAACGAGAGTACTTGCTACTAACATCGGCAGGATTTTTGTTGTTGAAAAAGGCCCAAGCCTGCCCTGCCAGTTACGGACTTACGGGGGTCGCCATGGCAAATGATAATGGTAAACAGTGAAAATCAACCACAGACAGGAAGCTGTGTCAAGGCAAGTTTATAATCATAACATCAGGAAGATCGGAAGGTATACGGTACGACGGCAGCTTTGAAGCTGCTGAGAGACGACAGTACTCTGACTGCATCCGGTAGGACGTTCCAAAGGGCACTACCTTGGGAGGCAGGGCGAGATCGTCCGGCGCGGGTAAGTGTAGCTGGTAGACGGAGCCCCAGGGCGAGATCCAGGCACGTCCTACGATCCGCGCAGCGTACGAAGAGCTCCTGGAGGGATGGACTCGCACTGGCGTGTATGCACCTCCAGACAAAGACTAGGACTTTCTGCCGATGTACTTCTCCAATCCTGAACACCTACACGCATTCCAGGAGATCACTGGCACGAGAGAACCCTGGCCGGCCATCAACTGCTCTTGCCCCACGGTTTTGTGCTACTTGGAGCCCGTCGGTCTGGACATGAGTGAGACCTGGGCTTAACGCAACGGACCCATACAGTAGATCCAGCATGATAGCTGCCTTGAAGAACAGGACACGGCTAGCAAGTGTTAGCGACTTTCGTGTCCGCCACAGAGTTCCAATTTTCTTATTGGCTTTCGTGATGCTTGCATCGACCTGGGGCTGCCATGACATGCGTACATCCAAGATGATGCCAAGGTAGCAGGCACTGGTGACGCTTGGCACGGGCATGTCATGGTTGGGAGGAGTCTCTCTGTGTCTCTCTGTCTCTGTCTCTCTCTCTCTCTCTCTCTCTCTCTCTCTCTCTCTCTCTCTCTCTCTCTCTCTCTCTCTCTCTCTCTCTCTCTCTCTCTCTCTCTCTCTCTCTCTCTCTCTCTCTCTCTCTCTCTTTCTCTCTCTCTCTCTCTTCTATTGGCGCGCCTGGTTGTGATGAAGCCGAGACCCAAGGTCGGCAGAGCATCCCAGACCACGCCACCACTCCCCTTATTCATGGCTCACACATGAACGGTTTACATGGCGCTAGTAAAAAAAAAGTACTTGTAGTAAAATTCTACTTCCTGGTTGACAGGAGTAGTAAAATACTACTTCCTGGTTGGGAGGAGTAGTAAAATACTACTTCCTGGTTGGGTGGAGTAGTAAAATACTACTATCTGGTTGGGAAGAATAGTAAAATACTGGCAAAAGGAACACGATGTGATGAGAAACCAGGGTAGGGCAAGAAAACAATAACACAAAGGCGTGGAAAACATATCTCTCATGATAGTGGCGAGAGTTTTACACTAAAACACGACTGGTTTAGATCCGGCTTTCAACCGCCGTCAGCTCCCTGAGCTCGTTAGCTGGACGATGGTATGCAGGCCGAGACCCACGAACACACATGGCGGCGGACCGGAGCAACGCGAAACACAGCCCGCAGCGCACATACGCAACATATGTGTGCATAGGGCATGCTGGAATAAGCCCTGGCAAGCAAGCCACAGAGGCGCTCAAGGCACCTTTCACATTCAGGGGAGGCAATATCAGACTGACTTGAAAAAAAAACAGTGGCTTGAATATTGGTAAAATAATACTCCTGGTAGGCAATCAATGACTTATTCAAAGCCCCACATTAATTAAGTGAAAAATAGCAAAAAGGTACAAGAGAAGAGCTAGAGAGAAAAGGGAAACCCCCAAGGAGGAGTCCAGGTAGAAAAGGAAAAGGAAAGATAAGAACATTGAAAGGATCCGTCACGCAATACCGTTAAGTGCCATCGTCAATAGGGCTATGTTTGCGTGTGGCCACAGTGCTCCGCAAACATTTGCCGTCGTAAATTCGCTGGTTCTGAGAGATCGTAAAAAAATTAGTGCGCAAACATTGGGCGGTTTACAAAGATTTTCCCTACTGTTGTTTTCGTGCCCGTTTCTCTTTAGTGGTTAATGGCCTATTCTCCATACTTGCTCCTGTTGTGACAGAATCTGCAAGTCAAGAGCCAATCCAGGTTTCCATGGTACCAGTATCCCTGTCGAATGGACGCCACGGCAACGGCGGGGGCGACGATGGTGACCATGGCGACAGTGATGATGACGAGACACCGGCAACATCGCCCACGCCGCTCATCAAGAATGGTGGACGGAGCACGGCAAATCAACACATGGGCCTCTGGATGGGCGTGGGCGTGGCCGCTGCACTAGTCTTAGTCACCGCGGTTGCCGCCTTGATTTATTTCCGACGGGTCGAAACCGGAAAGTGTAAGTGGATCAAGTTGTTGTGTTTCTCTGCACGTGGCACAACAGGGAGATCATGATCTACGCGTTTTATCAGGGTTCAGATGTATGCTGACTCTAACCCAGGCTGTCGTAAAAGTCCTCAAGCAATTGCCTGCACAATTACCTGCCCGGAATAAACACCCCCTTCATTCTCTTGACTGGTTCTGTTGACGTTAGTATTGGTATGGTTTGCACATGCCGCCCAATAGGTATATCTTCATGGAAAATACATCTCCAGTCATAACGACTGGCCTGAGTCAGCAGTGTCCTTATTTGACAAGTCTAGCCAGCGACCTGAGGCAGCAGTTGCCCTGCTGAACAAGCATAGCCAGAGCCCTGAGGTAGGAGTTGCCCTATTGAACAAGCATACCCAGGGTCCTGAGGCTGAGCGAGGTTCTGGAATGAAACACAGCGCCTAGCGGTGATAGCACTGTGAGGAAGACTATAGTGTTGTTTGGGTGGCGTATGTAGCATTTGTCATAATGTGGGGTGGGGTCCACCTTGTTCCTCACCCTCTCTTGTATTCTTTATATTTGCTTTGTGTATGTTTTATACTCATAAAAAGGACACACTTCAGGCTCATTACAAACATCTTGAAATTTTTTTGTCTTCACAAGTATACTTTCAAGCCTTCTCGTCAGGTGAAATACAGGCAAGGGAAAAGGAACAGGAACAGTGGATTATTGCGATTTTTGCTGTATACTTTAGCTATCTTCTTTTTTGCGCTATTTTACCACCTTCTTACTATCCACTGTTCCTGTATACTTGTGAAGACAAAAACTTTCCAAAACTTTAAAGATGTTTGTAATGAGCCTGAAGTGTGTCCTTTTTATGAGTATTATTGTACGCGTGGAGACGCTTTCCACCGCACATCAGAAACCGAAACGACAACTTGCTCGTCTTCTCAAGAACTCTCAACAACGAAGACACTGGCGCACGCAAAGCTACGTGGCACACAGCGCTCCAAAGAAGAAATGCGTAGATCACGTGCATGCATATGAGAAAAACAATGATGTCACGCTGCCATGACGATACACAAGATGTACTGCACTGGTACGCAGTGGACAAAAATAATGGAAAATCAAGAAAAGTCAGAAAATAATACAAACAGTGAAATAATTCGAAAGTAGAAGTCAAAGGAAGTTCAAAGAACAAGGAAAACGAAGATCTGTGCTGATGGGAACTCAAAGCAATTTCAACCATGTCCTGTCAGAGAGTGTTAGCACCCACAGGGTGAAGGCAAGCCTTGTCAGAGCAGAACCTACACTAGGACGGACTAGAGCTGCAGAACGGACTTTCTGAAGGAATGCAAAGATAAGTAACAATTCGAATTCGAGATAATCAACTTAGAAACAACACCAGCTGTTTTGTAACCTGTAAACTACTTGTAACAATCAGTGATGTACTAGTAACTAACTCCTAGTAAACGCTTTGACTGTGCTCTCGGAAGAACGAAGGATTAACAAAATATAGAATAAACACAGTAGATAAATAATAGTGACACTCGTAAATTCTACAATATCTGGAGTCTTCTGCACAGTACATGAAGAACACCCAGATCGCACAGGGAATACACAAGAGAACAGAGCGCACACAGATCGCACAGAGAACGCACAGAGAACGCACAGAAAACACACAGAACGCACACCACTGCATACTGTCTTCAGAACAATTATCGCATTTTTGTCTCAGAGGAAACTGTATGTTTCATATTTAAAAATTTAAAACTCGGATGTTGAGCCATAACGAGCCATAACGTCAGGACGTCGAATGTCTCAGTACTCTTGTCAGTTGTGTGCCTAGTTATTGCACTTTCTGACTGTATAGAGTATCCAGTTACAGTGATGGAGAGTTACTCCTAACTCGTATCCTTATATCCTTTTCCTTTCTACATTTAAAATTTTGTATATATTTACCTTGCCACTGCGCATCCACCCCTTCAGCGAGACCAGGGACACCCATTCGCTTAAAACTAGAATGTATGGTAGTTGAGTGTGCTGCCACTGCTTCTGGTGCTGCTGATGCTGATGCTGCCGCTGATGGTGATGCTCCTGCTGCTGATCATGCTGCTGATGCTGCTGATGCTGATGCTGCTGATGCTGGTGCTGCTGATGCTGATGCTGCTGATGCTGCTGATGCTGATGCTGCTGATGCTGATGCTGCTGATGCTGCTGATGCTGCTGCTGATGCTGCTGCTGCTGCTGCTGCTGATGCTGATGCTGATGCTGATGCTGATGCTGATGCTGATGGTCATGCTGATGCTGTTGTTGTGGCTGCTGCGGCTGTAGGTATTAATCGGACGGCAATGGGTTAAGTGAAGCATGATTACGTGGGGCAATAGTATGCACTCATTAGTAGTATGAACTCTCTCATGTGTTGCTCAAAGACCTGCTGCTTTGGTTTTTTCTCTCGTACCTATGCTCGTTATGTGTGCTGTGTTGTGTCCTCTGCATCCGCTGTGTTGTATGCAGGTGTTGTGCAAGCAGATGGTAGGTTTTTGAGGCATGTCACTGTCGTTGGTCTTCCATCAGTGGAGTCTGTCCTTGACAACACCCAAACCAGCGAGGCTGAGCCGCAGCTGGATGACGACGATAAAAGTCTCGTGTGCGAAGAGCAATACGCATGCTGTGAGGAAACGTTGACGGCAGCCGAGGCCAGTTCGACAATGGCCAGCAGTTCGAGCAGCAAGCGGCAACAGTTCCGCGGAGCGTTCACACTGAACTTGCGGCCTAACATCACGGTGGATGAATCGCTCGATCTGTACGCCATGCCGGACAGAGATGCTACGCAGCACGCCAGCAGCAGCAGTAACAGGAGAAATGTTTCGCAGTCGTCTGCATGGTCGCAGGACAGCAGTCGGAAGAGGCTGCGTGCCAGCGTCACCGATACAGTAGCCACAACCGCATCCTTGGCCACGTTTACAACGGACGCATACAATGGAGCAGAGAATATCTACGAGGAGGACGTAGCCGCTGCTGTGTTTGATGAGGGAAATGAGTTCTATCTGGGTGATTCCCCGGCGCCTTCCCTGACTGGAAAATTCGCGGGCCTATCTGTTTGTATGGTAGCCGCTGATGATGCTGCTGCTGCAACTGATGCTAGCGACAAACCGTTGGATTTTGGGCCTCTCCATGTCGCTCCAGGCAGCACACACACCACTGATATCCACCGCAAGGGTACCGGCATTGGTAAGCAAGAAAACATGTACGTTGTTGATGACACGCCTGCACTGACAGATGGGGTTGTGTACGGCATGCCCATAGACGAGGTTGTGTACGGCACGGCTCTTGAAGACAGCGCCGGCAGTGGCCTAGCCGCGGACAGAGTGACGACTGCGGGGAATCTGTATGATGACACACCTGCACTCACAGATGAGGTTGTGTATGGCACGGCTCTTGAAGACAGCATCGGCAGTGCCATAGCTGCGGACAAGGTAACGACTGCAGGGAATCTGTATGTTGTAGATGACATGCCTGCACTCACAGATGGGGTTGTGGACGGCACACCTCAAGGCGAGGTTGTGTATGGCACGGCTCTTGAAGACAGCATCGGCAGTGCGGTAGCTGAGGACAAGGTAACGACTGAAGGGAATCTGTATGTTGTAGATGACACACCTGCACACACAGATGAGGTTGTGTATGGCACGCCTCAAGACGAGGTTGTGTATGGCACGGCTCTTGAAGACAGCGTCGGCAGTGCCATAGCTGCGGACAGAGTAACGACTGCAGGGAATCTGTATGTTGTAGATGACTCACCTGCACTCAAAAATAAGGTTGTGTACGGCATGCCTCAAGACGAGGTTGTGTATGGCACGGCTCTTGAAGACAGCATCGGCAGTGCGGTAGCTGCGGACAGGGTAACGACTGCGGATGCTCTCACTGCTCCGTCCATCAACAATGCCGGTGACGTGTTAGCAAGAAAGAGAACGATCCCCATAGGGTCGTTGTCACGTGCCAAACCCGTCAGTGCAAGTTCATCAAACGGCGATGTGGGCACCAAAGGGAACATTTACGCGATAGACACATGGCCTGCAGGTGGCAGCAGCAGCACCGGGTCTGCCGTTTCCGTTGCTGCTCTGGACACGCGTACGTGCAAACTCTCTGTCTCGTCTAGCAGCACTGCACCGCTGTTTTCCACTCCGCCTGCCATTGGTGTAGATACGTGCTACAGGGATGTCCTCTTTGAGGCGTCGAGACGAGACACCTTCGCAGAAGCAGCAGCAGCAGCAGCAGCAGGAGGAGCAGGAGGATCGTGGCCAGAATGTATCTATAGCGACGCAGGTAGCGGCTATGGCGACATAGACAGTGCCTATGGTGAGGTAGGTAGTGCCTACAGCAGCACCAGCAGGCGTCATTCCGTTGTCACGGAGACGGCAGAGAGAAGCAACGACCAGTACGGGTGCGTTGCTCCGAAGCGCCTGCGCCCCAGCCACCGCAACGAGACCTAAGCAGACTGCAAGCACGTCTTTACACAGCATTCTTCCTCCCAGTCAATACTGAATTTAATCTTTCCAAGATCGGTGTAAATCTTTTTTCCTCTCCTAGGCTAGATTTGTGCGATCTTTTCAGCAACTGATAGGAATTAGGGAAAGTACGATCAGGGGCCAAGAACTGGTTACCAATGCAACTGTGCACAGTATGTCACATATGAATCTGCATGGTTTTTAAACAGCACTGTCACCCTGATCAGGTCAGCATACCTTTAACCAATCAAGACAGTCCGATCTCACTGTCCCTAGCAGTAAATCCATCTATCTCACACACACACACACACACACACACACACACACACACACGCACGCACGCACGCACACACACACACACACACACACACACACACAAATACACACACACTCACATACACATGCACACACACATACACATACACACGTACAGACACACGCTCACATGTGCACACAAACACACACGTACAGACGCACCCTCGCATGTACGCACACACTCAGACACACACGGACACACACACACACGCGCGCGCTCTCTCTCTCTCTCTCTCTCTTTCCCTCTGCTCTTGACATATGTCAGCTAAATGCCACAGCCCATCTTGCCGCAGCCACTCTTGTTTTTAAATAATTTTCATCGGGTAGCTACTAGCACCTTTGTTCTTGTTCTCTTTTGAATCATATTCTCCCGAGCTCAGCACATTGCCTGCTAGTTCCGTTGGAATTTTTTTAAGGCACATGCAACTTACTCCTACCCTGTCCTCCCTAGTCGTTTGCCAGTATCGGCAAGTGTTTAGCAAAGGTAAAATTCGTATCGCCGTCGTTTGCTGCGTTACTTTTGCACGGCGGAACAATATTATTTTTATTATTAGACGCTGAATAGAGTTGTAGACTGTCTTCTGATGATTGTTTTGAAGTTTGCACTCCGAGTTGAGATCTATACGATAGTTTTATAGCTTTTTGTTCACTTGATTTCCCTTTTGTACTGAAGATCTGCACGCGATGAATGGAGCACTCTGGCCAGTAGTCTCGGTTCATTAATTAGTAGAATGCATGACGTCATCAGTCCATTAACAGTGTATGCATGTCTTGATGTCATGTACTGAGAGCACACTGACCAATAGTGTAGGTTCATTTCCAGGCCATGCCTACACTCTAAGACTGAGTACTGGAAGACCGGAACGTCTAACGCCAAATCTTTTTCGTTATTTGAAGAAACGATATCCCGAGCTCGGTGTGTAAAGATGGGCATCAAGAGGGGGTTATGTACTCTTGATGGGCATGCATCGATGCATGTTCTGGGTGGCCAGGTAGCCATCGTCAAACTTTCTGCACGTTATCATGCCAAATTTACAACAAAACGTTAAACTTTTTGGTCGTTAAACTTTCCGGCTTTACAGTACCATAACAATAGTGGTAGCAAGTGAAATCCGACCCCTGGTTTTCATCTTCGACTACAGCACCGATTCCAGCGGTGTCAATTTCGAAGTCTACAAGCGCGGTTGTACACTGCGCATGCGTAGGCTGAGGTTTTGGAACGTGATTTCACCGAGCTGTCTGTGGAGTGGAGTTGTGGGATGGCGTAATCCGAGATGGACGTCATTTTTTGGGTCGGACTTGCGTCATTCCGTCGACGCGGTCCGCCACGGCCACGGACACTCTTCCCCTGCTCATGATGTCACACTATGACGTGCAACGTGGATTTCGCCGTCCCAGATCTGATCATTGAAGTTGCGCACTCTGGGGAGATTATGGACTCTTGGTATGACTTGCAGGTGGAGTGTCTATGATAGACAAAGCTCCAGCGCGGATCGACTACACAACACAACATGCAAAGTGTGTACACGGTACGCATCTTATGACGATCAGTGCGGCCAACGCGTCCCTAAGATCACCACGAAAAGGATTTGGTCGTAGCGCAGGGAGTAGTAAAATACAGGGAGGTGACACGCCACTAATCGTGATTTTTGATGGGTGCCTCGCGCTTGTTTTTTTTTCTTTCGCAAAAAAAGATGATCTGCTGGATCAATCTTGAGTATTTGTTGAAGAACTAATTCCGTGAAAAGGTCTATCCATCTCATGGAACAGCATTTGTTTTGCTCTTGTGATACATCTCTGTCATCGTCATATGGAAAGGTACCACCCTTCCGAAATTCGTCCCGATCGACGGCTTGGAGCAATAGAACGAAGGTGATTTCCTTGAGAACAATACGTGTACGATTGGAGATGAAAAGCGAGTCCACCGATTTCGAAGTCGAAAAAATCTCTAGGACACCACCCGATCGGCACTAATTTCTCCTCAGTTGTGATCAACCAATACTTTTCTACCTTCTTTGTGATGATGAGCATTTCATATTATGGTATGCTAGAGATTTTGGAGTTCACTTTTCGGAATGAAATGTTCCTAAGTTTGTCAAGGATTGAAATGCGGGCTACGTCGTCGTAAACAGCTTGTATCGACACAGGAAAAATCTACGGCACGCAGGGATGTCTCCCAAAGTGATACCACTCTTGCTGGACTTCTATCCTGACATAGTGGTAGTTTGGTCGACTACACTTTGTGAAGGCAGACAATTGTTGGAAAATTCTCAGCGCTGAGTTTCTACGGGCTGCAGTAGGAGTCTCTTTGGCGGTAGGTATTTTACTACTCCCTGATCGAGAGAATCCTGATGCGCGCGCGTGTCTACACACTTCGGTACCCATAGTACCCCAATCTCACCCGCCGGGTGAAAACGGTGCTGAGGCAATGGGGCTGTTAAGTGATGACGTCACAGTTCCTTCGATACGCATAGCAACGATCCCACTGGGGACAAACAAAAGTAGCGTCGTCTCCACCGAACCAGTTGTCAGTGGCAACATATAGGAATCGTGTACATTTCTTCGTTTCTTCTTTGCTGTTTTCAGTGAGTGTTTTGTTTTCTCTTTGTCCTTGATCTCGACGGTGTTGTCGTGCTCATTACCTTACTGAGACGTCTCTTGTGACTGTAGCCAGTGTCACGGAGGATTTTATTGCCGTGACGAGGTAGATCGCCGAGATCGAGCGTGAAAAACGCTCTGCATTAGTAGCTCCTGTAGAATGTCTTCTGGGATGGCGTATCCATGGTCAACAAAGCCAAGGTGCAAGACAGCATAAGAGATCGTGTAAACGATGGGAACTCCAAAAGGTAAGCTCCTGAACAAGTGGAAAGATATGTGTATTTACAAACTCTCTCTTCATCCATCGATTGCCGCTATGCGTTGCATTTTGTCTGCACAGATAATCTGGACAAATAAATTATATTGTAACTGGAGAGAGCAATCGTGCTTGGGACCCATCCCAATGTCATCACATGGCTGTGATGACTAGTGTATACCTGGGAGAGTTTTTCCTCAACTGAGACGGAGTGTAGGTGGATGGATTATGAGAAATGCGAAGATGTGGAGTAAGTTGTGTCGAAGAAATGTGTAATAAAATAAAATTTACTTTACACTCAAACATATGTAGTATCCCTGCCCGACCAATACGGAAGCAGTACGGAACTAATACGGAGCTTTGCCTAGTGTATCTCCGTATGTAAGCGTACGGCGTCTGCTGCATATAAGCGGCTTCGCATTTCTGTTTAGATGAAGATGAGATTTTGATAATAACGAGCTATTCAACCTCCAGGTGAGCACCGGAGAGAAAGTCAGTTATTTTGCCGTTCCTTCTTTCATTAACGATTATATCTCAGGTGTGTACCTGAAAGTAGAATAAAAGTAATTATTGTTGATTTCACCGCGCCTACCACTCGGCTACCTATTACATTGGTGGCAGCGGTGTGTTTTTGTAAAATAAAACAACGTGATTCGACCCCAGACCCCCATGGCTCAACCCGCTGCAGCTCCGTGCGACGAATCAAGATGAGAATCGTGTTTCATGCTTTCCTGGGCCTGGCCATGCTTATTAGCCTGCAGCACAGTCAGGGTGCTGACGTGGATCACCATTCTTTCCGCACGGCATCCATTGGAGACTCCGATGCCGATTCCAAGCAACCCGCTACCTACATGTATACTACCGGTGGTGATGGCGAAGCTGATGAGGACGACGACATGCAGGCTGCTGACCAAGACAAGGAGGGTATTCCCCAAGACCAGCAGCGTTTGATTTTTGCCGGCACGCAGTTGGCAGACGGCCGAACCCTGAGTGACTACAACGTTCAGCAGGAGTCCACTATTCACTTGGTACTTCGCCTCCGTGGTGGAATGCAGAATTTCGTCAACACTCTTCCTGGCTAGACCATCACTCTTTACGTCGCGCAAAGCGATGCTATCGACAATGTGAAGACCATGATTCAAGACGAGGAGGGAGGTTATTTGTCTGACGCCGAGCTAGCCGCTCTGAGTGACCGGCTCAACCAAGATGAAGATAAAACCTGGCTTGCCCTCGGCCGTAGCTTCAGCCGCCGCCGTGGTTACTAACGCTGATTCCAGGTATGGCATTTTCTTTCCTGTCTTCCTTCAGTCTACCTGTTCTCTTCAGTCTTCCTTTATGCGAGTGTGTGAATCCAGTTTAGTTTGGTAGGCGTCTGATCATGGTGAGCCACGGTTTACCCAGCTAACGTGGGACAATGTGTGTGACAACACCCCTTATAGTTATAGTGTATTCAGTTCGGTTTTTGAACTGCGATGTTCCTGGCGGGTTGTGCCAGCGTTGTGCAGCAAGAGTGCTGTGGATTTTCAGGTCCTATTTGGAGGACAGTTCTTTCCCCTTTTGACCCCGTGAGACCGTGTGAACCTGGTGTGCTTCTACTTTATGATTTGTTATTAGTTCATTTCTTCTGTCTACTCTAAACGTTATCATTTCCGATATAATTTGCCATCTTCCGGTTGACGCTGTGTTCGTAACTCTTCACTATTTTTTTGAAAATCACGAGGGCGTGATTATCTGTAGGAAGGGAGGGTGTAGTATCCCTGCCCGACCAATACGGAAGCAGTACGGAACTAATACGGAGCTTTGCCTAGTGTATCTCCGTATGTAAGCGTACGGCGTCTGCTGCATATAAGCGGCTTCGCATTTCTGTTTAGATGAAGATGAGATTTTGATAATAACGAGCTATTCAACCTCCAGGTGAGCACCGGAGAGAAAGTCAGTTATTTTGCCGTTCCTTCTTTCATTAACGATTATATCTCAGGTGTGTACCTGAAAGTAGAATAAAAGTAATTATTGTTGATTTCACCGCGCCTACCACTCGGCTACCTATTACACATACACTGTACATGTAACATCATGATACTGATGATTCCATCTTCATATCTCCGCAACAGGTACGCCATACGCACCAAACACATGGTGTGTGTGCACGCGCGCGCTTGCGTGCGCGCGTACATGCACACACTCTCATGCGTGGCCGAGTTGGCCGGATGAACAGACCACGCATTTGCACGAGGTGTCCGTTATGTCATTAGAGTGCTGTACTTTATGACTTTATTCCAAAATAGTATGTCTTGCCCCTGTCAAATGGAGTTTGTGTCTATGCTCAGCAGGTATCGGGCCACGACGCCACACTGCAGTCAGCGCTGGAATTAAAATAGCACTTCATGGATTATTTTAACTAATTTCCTTTGCGTTTACATGTACTTTGTTGAGCCCGTGGTTTCATTTCTGTGTTCTGTTATGATTGGCCTCTGGAAATAATCGGAGTGGATGTCATTTTTGTCATATGTGTGTGCCTTGTGCAACAGGTCCAAGGCTAGATGCACTTCACATTCGGCGTGCGATCTCGGCGTCTGGGACCTGATAACGTCTTGGTTGGATGGGTAATCAAGGACGATACTACTCGGCACACCAATGTACATGTCAATGTAATTTTTTACTCTTTCAGAGCTGCACTATTTATGGACGAATGTGTCTGTTAGAGAGGAAATAAATAGTATTCACAAACAAGTCCCACTTATTGTTTCTGTTCGTAAAAGGAAATTGCAATTTTTTGGTCATATTGTTCGTTCCGGCTGTTTGTCATTGACTGTTCTTCAGGGTTGTGTTGCTGGAGGTCGTTGCCGAGGCAGGCCCAGAATGTCATGGCTTGATAATAATTATTATTTCATGGACTGCACTTGACGTGCAGTCCCTGCTCGCTGCTGCACGCGATCGATTTTTATGGCGCTCACTTGTTCATACTTGCTCTGTGACGCCCCGACGACCTTAGGGCTATGGGCTTGTGGTGATGACTATTTACGTCTTGATGCTTACTTCGGTGCTAGCGTGTTTCCTCCGGATTATTTCTATCATCATGCGTGTTCTTGGGCTGAGTGAGCACATGCACGAGTGTGCAGCTATAACCCCGTGTATCTTTGGTTTCACTTTGTTCTGCAATGCATATACCTTGTAACAGTATGTGCTTGCACTGCTTTGTGTGGCCTGCGTATTTCAGGACTATTCAGTGCATTAGACCCAGGTTGGTTTGGTTGCCGGATGATCTCTTGTTGCGTCGCTCTGTGTTTTGTATTCATCAATTTTTGGGCTTGAGAATTGAGCTGGTGTGTGGTTCCCAATATCAAAACATCATGCTGGTGCTCTGTGTTTTGATTATCGACTGTCCGAGCAGTCGCGATTCATTACCAGAACGGTCAATACTGTAGTCTCTTGACGTGTTTGTCTTTTTGTGTTTTCGCCGGGGGAATTAGCAGTGACGTTGCACATAGAACGGCAGTGTTGCATCACTGGACGACCCTGCCTCTGACTTCATGTCCCCAGGATGTGGTGCAGATACACCAGACAGTCACTTCCTGTAAACACGCAAACAGCAAAAGAAGAGATCCCGCAAATCAGGAAAAACCATTGTGGAAAATATCGAGTAGATCATACACCATTCAATAATCTGGAGTAATTACAGTGAGACAAACACTTCACTGCTCTCTCTCTCTCTCCATCCTTCCAAAATACCCTGTAACAATTTCCTAGAATTATTCTATTTTAATATATTCTCAGGACATCATTCTGAACATAATAACTTCTTCCATGGGTCTTCAATCACAACGGAGGGCGAGAATATATCTAAGTCATGCAGTTTACGGGAGGTGCGAGCTGTCATGGATATAGAGGCTGATATTATTGTGCCAGCGTGAGGGCAGAGACAGAAAGAAGACACTGATTTCTTGAACACCTCACCTACATAATATTATAATCGAATCCACAGGGAGCGCTCGTACTTTGATCCATCAGGACGGGAAGAATCTTCAAAGGACTCTCAAACACGGAGTTTTACAGTGGGCAGCCAATTTCACAGCCATTATGAAGGCCCTCGACGACTACAGGAGATTTGTAGAGGAAAGAACAAGGAGTAAAGAGCGACAACAATCGCTTGAAGAAAAAGCAAAGAAAAACTGCTCTCTCTCCAGTCATTTAGATGCTGTTGCCTTTGACAACTGGTTCCATCCAGAGGACGCGACTTTTGTTTGTCCCCAGTGCTCTCCGTTGCTATGCGTATCGAAGGGGCCGTGACGTCACACTTAACAGCCCCATCGTCAAACTGGCCGTACATGCTCGTGTCACCTCCCTGTATTTTACTACTCCCTGGTCGTAGGGCGCTCTCGCCGTATTTAACGGCAATAGCGCAAGCGCGGATACAAGTTCTTCTACAAAACATGTGTAACATTATATTGTGTAACCCCCACCACCACAACATGTGTAACCCCCCCCTCTGCCCCCCACCACCACAACATGTGTAACCCCCCCCCCCCCCACCACCACCACAACATGTGTAACCCCTCCCCCTCCCCCCCCCCCACC